TCTCTCAAGAAAAAGAAACACACATTAGTGGAAGATCATATAAATATATGGAGAATAAGGCCATCAATGGTTACTAGTCAAGGTGGCTGTTATGTTTGGTACTGGAAGGAGTATATCTCTCAATATTTGTTGCTGGGGAATGTGAGAGGTGCTATTAAAATAATGTCTTGCTTGTTAACTTCCAAGTTGCATATGATTCCCACTTATGGTAACAGAATACTGGATTAGGTATGCCTTTCACCTAGTTCAGAAATGTTTTTATGTACTTAATGTCATATGATTAAAATTTTAAATATGAACTTTAAAATGAAATGTTGAAAACATATTAAACCAGTTGCATTTATTTTTACAGAAAGTATTCTGTATACCAGCTTCATTGGTGTGGAAATTGTCCAGTTTTGCCCCCCAGGACCTAAAATGGGATGTACGTCCACTATGACTTGGCAGCAAATATAATGGTCACATTTTATCTGTCAATTTCTTGTGGTGGACCAGAAAAAAAGCCATTAAAGGAAACAGAAAAACCTTGTTTTTCATGGAGGGAGCATTGTTGGTCCAGAAAGAAAAGATAAAAGGGGATGCTTATGAGCTGTGAGTTGCTATCCCTAGTTCTGGGGTATGCATGGCCTGTTTGTGACATTGGCCAGACCTGTTTGGTGTTGTGATCAGTGCTTGTCAACTGAGAACACACGGCCTAGAGCCCAAACAATCATTCCCCTGCTTTTGCAAATGCGATTTCACTTGTGTTTCCAGAGACAACTTGTTGAGTGAACAAAGTGCTGGAGGAGCTTTGGTCTCATTTATCATGGTTCTTGTTATATTCTCAAACTTCAAGCTATTTTTCATCAAAGTTTGTCCAAGATTATTAATCTCAGTGGGCATAAACAATCAAATGTTCTCTGGGTCACAGTTGGGAAAACTGCCTTATAAAAGTGACAGTGTCTCACTCTTGAAATCTTAGATCCTCAGTGAATGCTCTTGAACCCAGTGTTTCAACATTGTGGCATTACTGCAACCTGATATCAGATTTTCAGTGGGATTGATGTCCTCTGAGCTATTATAGCTGAAAGTGCTTAAGGATCCAGAACCAGGATTGTACCTGAAGTTCTGTGTTTCAGCTTGGAAATTGTTGTTATATGCCAACAGGTCTCCTCTCACTTATGGCAACCCTATAAATAAGTTATCTCCAAAATATCCTGTCCTCAACTGCCCTGCTCAGCTCTTGTAAACGCAAGCCTGTGGCTTCCTTTAGGGAGTCAGTCCATCTTGCATGTGGTTTTCCTCTTTTCCTATTGCATTCCACCTTTCTCAGCATTATTTTTTTTTCCAGAGACTCCTACCTTCTCATGATGTCCTCAGCCTCAGTTCAACATTTTTGCCTCCAGGGATAGCTCAGGCAGGATTTGATCTAGGAACTACTGTCTTTCTGGCAATCCAGGGCATCACACTATTTTTTTCCTGAGAGCTTTCTTTACTGTCCAGCTTTCACACCCACAAAGGATTGAAAATACAAGAGTGTGGATGATTTTGGTCTCTAGTGGCACATCCTTACGCTTGATGGCCTTTTCTAATTCCTTCATTGCTGCCCTTCCTAGTCTCAATCTTCTTCTGATTTCCTGGCTGCAGACTCCACTAGGGTCGATGGCTGAACCAAGGTGTATCTTCCAAGTAAAATAACTTGGAAATAAACTTCTAAAAACTTAAAATTTGCTTAGGTTCAGCATTACATTGCCTTCTTTAGGCACTCATGCTTTTATTCTGTCCCCTAAATGAACTTATATTTTGGTAGGGAAGTAGGTAAGAGGTTTGCAGGTGTCTTGTTGGTCAGCCAGTAACCTTATTGCTTCACAACTGGGTTAATGATTTCTCCCTGCCTCTCTTCTGCAGCTTCGTGCACAGAATCAAGTATT